CCCCACTAGGGCATCGGGCGTGACAAAAACCAAGTAGCCATTTTGCTTTAGGTGCAAGGGATTTTATCCCTTTTTTTGTTATTATTATTATTATTATTATTTATATATATATATATATATATTTCAATTCTTTTAAGTGATTTGCATCGATTTGTGTATTATTGACTCGTGCACGAAACTCCAATAATATTGGTGGTCTCCCTAGAGCAAATCAAAGTTCCAAATGTGCTCACGCGGTTCATTTTATCATCCAAGGTCATTCAGACAAGCTCGCTGACGTTGAGCCAAATTTGAGCATGATTCTCCCGCAAATGATTTTTTTTATGTTTTGAGTCACGAGGCATGTGTATTAGAAAATATAGTAAGATAACATCAAAAATATATATCATACGTGGAAAGACATAAAAAATTGATGACAACATTTCTCATGAGTGTCAGAGGGTTACTGATCAGTCTATCTATTGAAGATGGATGAGTAGAGCTAGAAGTGTCTTGAAGGTCGACATCTTGCATAGGAAGGGTTCCATCATAGAGAGGGAGAGGGAGACAGTATGAGTGTGGTCGAGTGGGGCATTTCCTATTGGCTACTATATTGGTGGTTAGTAAGCTCATCTAACAGTGTAGGCCTTGACCGCTTGGCCTCACATAAGAGTTGAAAGATCTCGCGTTGAGACTCTTCCATCCCGTGCACTCGATTCTCTAGTGATGGACCCAAGGCACCTTCGATGACAAGATAACATCTTTTTGGGGGGAAGAGGGAGATGCTTAATGCCCTTGGCTTCGTGATTGTCCCCTAGAATGATAAGTGTTGAAGGGAGATGCTTTGTAGTTGCGAGTTTTGTGTTGGTGGACGTTTTGCAAACTTCACGATTCCTTCAATGTTGGGATGGAGTTTCTCATAGACATTGTCAAACTGATATGTCACAGTGGTAGATTAATGAATTATCATCATAACATTGTATAAGAATCTATCACACACTTATATAATAAAGTGATATATAGAAACACCATAAGTTTATGTAGAAAACTCAATAAGAAAAAAAAATCCACGAGGTCCGACCCATTCATAAATAATCCACTGTAGCTTGATAAGTAAGGGTACGATCCCTTGAACCGCATGCAAAAAAGGGCCACATAATTACAATATTCATATGCAGTATGATTCATTGCACAATGGTCAAAGGCGGTTGCCTTTATCAAAACTTCAATACATCGTCTTCTAAGGACATTATTGCACAGTTTTCAGGATGATATGTTGCTCTGTATGCTCAGTTGTTTTGAGACGTTAGATGCAACTCCACACCATGCTTTGTTACCCAGCAATGTTAATTGTTGTTGAACAAGGTGCTTCGCTACAACGAGCAGATGTCATCCGACGATGGTCAGCAACGGCTAATGAGCAGTGAGCGACAACGGTTTGAGTGTGAAAAGTTTGTCGAATCTTCGATGTCGAACATTAAATTTCAGCTCATTCTCTTTTTGGGCCTCACCCAAGCTTAGGTCTTATCCCCGCTTTTTGAAGAGTGTATGGCTCTATTGATAGAGTCTATGACAGACCTCTTGACAAATAAGAAAATAATTTAGGTCACTCCATCGGACTACCCAAACATTTCCCCTCATGTAGATGGTATCCCACATATATTTGCATACCTTAACGATGTCAGAATTGAATAATTTTGGTTTTCTTGGACTATTCTAATCAATTTGATTGTATGCTTGTCAAATTTGGAGTCCGTTTGATCTTTCAATTGGGCACTAGAAGCTTGCAAAATTTGTTTAACAACCCAATTTGAGTTTGATTTGACTCACATTAGACAAACTCTTGCGTCATTATGTTTGCGCAATTGAGTCGAATTATAAGTTTGTTGAAATCAAGGTTAATAGTGATTTTTAATTGGAGCTTAAAGTTCATTACTAAAAAAATTACCTCGAGATTTTTGTCATGCCTCGAGATTGATGCTTCATGTGTCAATTATGAAATTAAGGATTTAAGTATTATAAACATTAAACTTTAAATCCAAGTGTTAAATAAAAAAATACAGGGATTAAGTGGCATGTATTAATTGCTCCTTATTTTTTTTATTTATAATTTTTTTTTCTATGAGACTTTTTTCTTTGAGTGCAATTAATGATAATGAAAATTTTGTTTTGGAAAATTTAAAATTAATTAAAATAAGAAAACATATTGTTCATTTTAACCGAAATCAATTAATCTTGAATATTTTTTAATTATATTTGATTCAAATTATTAAATATGATATCATTAATAATTTATATTAAAATATATTTTATAGATTTAATCTTTTAGATCAACTACATTGTTGAATTAAAAAAAATACACAAACTTAAAAATTTTATTACAACTCTACTTGTAAATTTGTTGTTTACTACACGATTTTAATATAATTTGTCATTAGAAGTAACACAGTTTTGTCCTTACGCTGCATAATATGGTAGAATATATTTAACACCACATATTTTTCCTCTCTAATGGTCATACATATTTATTTAAACAACTCTTTAGTTTTATTAATGGAGGCAAAATAAAAATTACCTTATTGGGTTGTTATTATTTCTCTATATTTAATTATTTACCTTAAGGCACTTCTCCATCAGCCCAAATAAGCTAGCCAAAAAAGCATTAACATATTATTACAACTCTAGTTGTAAATTTGTTGTTTACTACACTATTTTAATATAATTTGTCATCAAAGTAACTTAGTTTTGTCCTTACGCTATATAATATGGTAGAATATGCATAACACCACATATTTTTCCTCTCTAATGGTTATATATATTTATTCAAACAACTCTTTAGTTTTATTGATGGAGGCAAAATAAAAATTACCTTATTGGGTTGTTATTATTTCTCTATATTTAATTATTTCCCTTAAGGCACTTCTCCATCAACCCAAATAAGCTAGCCAAAAAAGCATTAACATATGTTTGGTGCTTTCATTTGTAGGTTTTACACTAGTCAAAAAAATATATTTGATAATGGAGACCTATCATTCATTATTCTCGTCTCTATACTCACCGTCGAGAATATTGACACAAATTAGCTTCTACTCAACCAACTTTTCATTACTTGCGGCATAATTTAATGACCCCATCATTTAAAATGAAAACTCCATTGAATGTGACAATACAACAAAACATGCTTATTGGTGCCTTGGTTTCCTCAAATATGATGGAGCTTCCAACCCCTCGCATAATCCTGGTTTTTATATTATGCTACTTTGATAGTGCATATCAATCATGGTAATGTCGGCCTAAATAAATGAGCTTTGGGGAAAGCATTCTAAGACAACTTTGCTAAAAAACTATGTGGGCTATTTGATATATACTTTATTACGTAGAAAAAATATATATTTTTGAGATTTTTTTTTAGGAGGGAGAGCACTTGAACCCTGTAAATTTGGATTCTTCACTTTATTTTCAATCAATGTAATGCACAATCAAGCACATTATGGAATAATTTACCAACCAAGTTGAACATCCTAAGGCAAGATCAATATATGTGTGTGATGGATATATAGCTTCCACTTTGAGGGAGTATACAAATATATTGGATGGTAGGCTAAGGTTATGCATGAATACATTTTGATGTCATTTGGCGGGGGTTGAATATAGATCCCATTGCCCACCCATCAAACAAATGATTTGAGTAGTTTTTGTGATCTTTGATGAGCTATTCTACATGAGGTCTAGAAGTTACTTGAGGATATAGTTTCATCAAAGAAGTGAAACAGCTATATTGAATTTCTAATGTGGTCATGATCCAAATTTCAAATGGGGCATGGTGGATATGCTCGAACTTCTCTAATCCCAACCTAGTATGATAAAAGAAAACAACACTCTCTCATGCATTGAAGCTTTGGTGAACTCGACAATTGGATATTCAGTGATGAGCTTTCTGAATGCCTTCTTAAGCTATCACCAAATCAAGATGCATCTAGATAATTGTGATAAAATTCATTCAATAATAGGATATTTTAAGTGAAATGAGCGAGTTAAATAATAAATAATAAGAATAATAGTTTAAAAAAACTAAGTTATTTTACATGTTTATTATGCCAATAATTGTTAATGAATTTATACAGAATAGAAGTTGGAACAAAGCTCCAAATTTTAAAGGAAAAATTACATACAGAGCACAAGAAACATTATTATTTACAAATCAAGTACCCAGGTGATTTTTTGAGCTATCAAACATATACATTTATGGGTGTCAATACAACATCTCAACGTTTTTTATTTAGCATCACAACGCCATGTCCAAATAATGATATCTCAAAATAAACATATTTCCATCATTAAGAAGGCTTTTGAAGAGTAAAATGAATTTTGTTTTCCTTTGCATTCTGAAGTTTGGTTATGGTTAATGCGGCTTTGATGAGAGGAAGTATTGTTTTTTTTTTCAATTCCATTGTTTGCAAAAAAATTAAAATAAACAGAGAACATTTTTTTATGCTTGATCAATATTATTTGTATGAATGTTGGTCAAAATTTGATTGTTCATTCAAAGAGAAATGAAACTTGCGAACCTTGGGAAGTGTCACTTTCTTATTAATGCTTTAGATTTAAGAAGTTCTGCCTATACTTCATTTATCCTCTTTTACATACATTATCCCTTAAAAAGATCAAGTTGTGTTACATTTTTGTATATTAAAAATATTTTAAATTTGCATTCACATGTCAACCACCTAAATTACTTATCTTTTTGTTGGGACATTTCTTGTTATGAAAAGAAATATTTGAGTTTATTCGTTAATCTGACAAAATGCAATGAGTAAAGCTAAAGAGGTCGGATCATCGGCCATGTGGGATATAGAGATCACTATTATATTTTGTGATATATGCCTGAGGGAGGTCGAGGCAGGAAATAGGCCCACCACCTATTTTAACAAAGAAGGGTGACAAAATCTTATGGTGAAATTCAAGGAATTGACCGAAAGGCGAGGGGAACGTGGG